GACAGCCTACTCACCTACGCTGACACCCTGGGGGTGATGCCACCCACTGCCCGGCCATGTGGGGACAGCAGGTCCAGCCCTGGCACCTCTGTGGTCTGTGACACTGTGGTGATGTGTCAGTGTGGTGGTCTGTGATGTCGCTGTGGCGTGTCATCATGGTGGTCTGTGACCTGTGTGCTGTGGGCGGGTATAAGGAGGGCCAGCAGCCCCACTCCCGGCCCCTGGGAGATGTGGAGATCCACAGGCTTTGCTGAGGGCTTGGGGAGCCCCAGGGCAGGGGGGCAGGTGCCTGCCCACAGGGAGGAGTGGAGGCCCACCCTGTGGTGGCCCAGGGCCTGGGCTGGAAACACCCCAGTCCTGCTGCTCCATTGGGGTTGGTGGAGGAGCGTCTGGAGAAGAAATCCTGGTGTTACCACGGCAGGGATTTTCCAGAGCACTCGCAGTCTGCTTTTGTGGTGTTGGCAATGAAGCCGAAGGCTCCTAACTGAGGGAGGAGGGTGAGAGCAAAGTGACCCCGTGGCTCCCAGCCAGGCACAGGGCTTTGGAGTGGTCCGCCGGCAGCTGCAACCAATGGCAAGGGGAGGCAGGACCTTCCCAGCTGCCCGGGCAGCACCCGTCCTCTCCTCAGTGTGAGGCCTGGGGTGCAGGGAGTGGCATGCTGGGAGGGAAGGCGGTGTGGGGAGGCATGGTGCTGTCTGGGGCTCACTAAACCTTGTCAGCAGGTTGAGGTAGCAGTAGAGGGTTCCCCTCTACTCAGCCCTGGTGAGGCAACAACTGGAGTGCTGGGTACAGTACAAGAGAAACATGGATATACTGGAGCGTGTCCAGTGAAGGGCCACAAAGATGACTTAGGGACAGGAACATCTCTCATGCGAGGAGAGGCTGAGAGCTGGGCCTCTTCAGCCTGGAGAAGAGAAGACTGAGAGGAGATAAATAACGTATACATACGCTATATATTGTTTATACGATAAATGCGTATAACTAACTGATGGGAGGGTGTAAAGAAAACAGAGCCAGATTCTCCTCAGTAGTGCCCAGTGACAGGATGAGAGGCAATGGGCACAAATTTAAACATAGGAAACTTCACCTGAACATCAGAAAACACTTTCACTGTGGGGTTGGTTGAACACTGGAACAGGTTGCCCAAAGAGGTTGTGGAGAGTCCATCCTTGGAGATACTCAAAAGCTGTCTGGATAGGGACCTTGGCAAAATGCTTTAGGTGACCCTGCTTGAACATGGCAAGTTTGGACTAGATGATCTCCAGAGGTCTCGTCCAACCTCAGCTATTCTGATGTTGTGACTGGCTGTGAAAGCAAAGCCCCAGGCAGTGTCGGGAGGCACTCTGACTTCTGATACCCAGAGATAGCCTTCCCCAGCCACCCGCCTCACTCCTGCCACGTTTCTGGACTGCCACCTTTCTTTCCAAAGCCACGAAGTACCCTTCCCACAGCTCCAGCCCTGCCTGTCACTCAGCAAGGCAGGATAGAGTGGTCCCTTGCAGGGGGAAATCCCAAGGGCAGAGAGGTGCTCAGTGGCTGATGCATTTGCTTTACCCCCTCCAGCATTTGTCCTGTGTTGCTGGGTAGATGCTGACTCTGATATTTATGGGCAGAAAAGCCATAAGGATGGTCTCTGCAGGTTGCCCTGGCACCCCCAGCCCAGCAGCCTGTGATCTCCATCCCCAACCTGGCAGGATCGCGGTGTGGGAGTGCACCTGGGTCTGTGCCTGTGGAAAATCCTGTCCCTAGAGCTCTGTTGGTGTTAGCACTCCCTGAGTGCTCTGAGCAGAGCCAGCACAAACAGCTCCTGCAGACCCTTTCCTAAGCTCAGCTCAGGCTCTCCTCATCCATGCCAGCACTGGCATCTGCTTAGCACAGCATGGCCCCATAGGCCAGCTCTGTGGGACTGTCCAGTCGCTCGCTCTCCAGGGCATGCTCAGTCAGTGCCTTCTCAGGCCACAGCACACCCTGGAGAGGCCCCCCCCCACCCCCCCAGGCCCAAGGCCTTTGTGCTGCATGTTCTAGACCAGCTGGAAGGTGGGACATTCTGGATCTGCCTTATGCTGGAAGCCGGTGAGGGACGACGCGGGTGAAGGACAGGGAAAGGGACAGCCCTGTGCCCTAGGGATGTTGAGCTGCCAAATAGGCGGGCTGCCCCCCTGCTAGCACTGACCAACTGGTCCTCAGTGCAATGGTGGATGCTTCTGGGGCTCTGTCCACACTCTTCACCTCCCCAGGAGCCCTGGGAGCATGGTGCTCAGGGTGGTGGTGGCAGAGTCTCTGCTCCAGGAGGGCTGGGG